TGTTTTCATTTCTAAATTTTCTTAGACGATTTTTTTGCTGAATGCCATTTTTTATTAATTAAATTAAAAACTGGAACTGCCAACATCCAAAAATTACCATGAATAAATTTGTTAAGACTGTTTGACATTTCCACTTAATAAAAAACAGACTTTAGGGTAATTACAGCGCTATAACTCGAATGTTTACATAGACGCTTAGAGAATACCAATTTTGATACGATTCTATAAGGACTTTAAAAAATTTATGTACAGAGCTCTATTAGCTATGGAATATACCAGCTTATAGACTATAGCAGATTTTTAGAGAATAGCCTAATATATTTTAACACAATTTTTTAAACAATAATAAATGACAAACGTTCGAAATTTTGACTTGTCTACTTAAATTATTTTTTACTCTAAAACCAAAGCCGATACAAAATTTTGACACAAAATTGTTTAAAAATAATGTACCGTTTAAATAATAAAAGAACTTTACCACTGGGCTATGGTAATAAAATATAGTAATAAAAAAAAGAAAGAAAATATAGTAATATAGTAATAAAAGATAAGAAATAGTCCAAAACATGTGGTTTTGATAGCAAATTCTCTGTGCCAAATTTTATAAAAATCAATTACTCCATTAAGAAGTTATTAAAGAAAAACGAAAATAATTTTGAAACTTTAAGGCTGTCTAACTTTTAAACAGTGCAACTTGATACAGAATTCAGTTGAGTTATTTTGACAGGAGAATCTCAGGTTACTTTTTGCTCTCATTTTTTTGTTACACCCTGTATAACAATTTAGGCAAGACGTACGTTCATGAAAATTTAACAGCATTCTTGATCATGTTTTTATTCAGACACTTGTTATTATTATGTACTTACATCATCACTTTTTATGGTTAATTAATAAAAAAGATAACATTTATTTCAGTGCTGAATTTTTCGTTTTTTTTTAACTTTTGAAAAATAATGTAAAGGGCATACTTTGTTTTTATGTATTTTTTTGTTATTATTGCGAATATACAGTATTCTTTTGTCATAGATAGAATAGAAAAACAAATGATTTGCTTAGTTTAAAGGATCTTTAGAACTAGAACTAAAACTAATTATTTTTTGCTTTTTTCTTAAAAACCTGAAAATGTAGAAAATAGATACAAAATTGAATTTTAGTTAATTTTTGACAATTATTTTTAGCCTGAAAAAACATGAGATCTTAAAATTGTTACAAGTGTTTTTTGAGAGACTGATATATTTTATCATCAATAAATCTTCTTGCATTAGCTAAAGATTAAGATTTTGCCACGTGTAATCGCTGATCGTCCCCATCACTTCCATACTTTTGCTTTTCTTTTTATGTCAATCAAATTGATAAAAATCATCTATCGTATAATTGAAATCACTTAGAAAGAAGTGAAATTAAGCGACGAAAAGTAAGATGGAATATTTCAGGTTGGCTTATTTTATGGATTCCACTTCCTTGATCTAACATTCCCCGAAATTGCGAATAGTTTACATGTGGATTCAGGTAGGGCTTCTCCCTGTTGCCCTTTGGCCCCAGTTCAGGCGCCTCCGTCGCAAGTTATTCCGTCGCGGAGTCGTTACAGCTCTTTTTTATGTTCCGCGATTTGAATCTTTTCAGATTTTCGATTGGACGCCGTTTCCTGGCATTCTGCGAGGCGCCGCGACTCCTGCGTCCGTATATCACCTCGCAGCTATCTTAGGTGAACTGTCTCGTTAGCGACCGCCGGGCGACATAAATCAGTTCGGATAAAAGTGAGGACCTAATGGCCGCAGGTGGGCTATAAACGTTCTCTTCAGATATTCATAATTCATACATTACGTCCTTAACGCTTCACTGAGGGTTTATACTTGCGTAATGAACCGTGCCCCATTGGGGTCACTTTCGAATCTCCACATTGACGGCTTTACACACTCTTAATGTCTTGTTCGATGGAAGAGTTACGCTAGCGTGGATCTTATTTTTCCAATGGCATTTCGGCAGGACAGTGGCGGAAAATTATTGGAGAGTTATAACAATCGAGAGGTTTTCACAATCGGGACCTGGGGTTATCTCCCCTAAATCTTCAACGTCGTATATCACACTGTATCGATTTGGGGGACCAAGGAAATGCTCGTTAGCCTAAATAAAATGAAATGACAGAGTTGTTATATGCGATTCGACGAGCTGAGGGTACTTTTTCCAAAGGAATCAGTAAATAAAATAATCGATTATTTGCATACTTAATACCATAATTAAGTGTGAGTGTGATTTAAACCAAAAGAATTGTTTCTTGTTTCTTGGAAAACTTTTGGTAAAAGACCTACAAAGGTTCTTAGGGTCTTCTGTTATTATTAAATAGTTTTGGCTTGAAAGACCCTCATTAAAGGTTAAAGGACCTACATTAAAAAGGCATAAAAAACATTACGTTTTGTTGGGGTTTAATATTTGTGAATGCTTAATCTGTGGGACAATTAGAAATTTTTTAGAACATTTTTTAGAATCTAAATTTTTGACTAAAAATTTAAAAAGAAATCAATTATTACTTTTAAAAGGCAGTTTAATGTAATTTGAAAAAATACACCAAAATATGTATTTTAGAAGCAGAAATTTACCACTTAGGACGCGTCAAAGATTTTTGATTTTAATAAAAAACAAAGTATTAATATTAATGTATTTTTTTTAATTTTAATTGAATACTTTTTTATCATTACTATGCAAAATTATATGTACCAGGTGAACAAAAAGTATGGAACCAAACGTTTTCTTGGCTTAAGCTATTAATTTTTTGAAAAAAAGTATTATAAAAAGGTGACGTTTTAACAAAAATAAAATTTAGAATTTTTTTTTGTTTTTGAGTTCCACAATTTTTTTTTTTAATGGCAACTCACTGTCAAATCTTTATTAGAAAGGCTACGATCTAATAAGGATTACCAATATCGACATTTTATTCACTTTTTAACGATTTTTTTATGTGCTCATTTTGAAAAAAAAAACAAACCGTGTAACTCAAAAAAACAAAATTTTATTTCTTATTTTTATTGCGCTTGGTTCCATACTTTTTGTTCACCTTGTATGTACCTAAATTTAATTTTGTAGTGTTAGAAAAATTGAAAACCTGTGGATACATCGTTTAACGCATATGTTGTTGCTAATAAATCTAAAAAGAGCTGGTAATAAAATTAAATAAATAAAATATTCAATTTTTTATAGCTATTTCATGTTCAATTTCATAAAGCTTTGCTATTTTATTTAAAAGGATTGTTTATTTTACTGTACCAAATTATAAATTTTAGTCACTTTGGAATTTTTAATAAAAATAAGTTTTTTCTTTTATATATTTAACTTTTGTATAAAATTAGTCTTTCATCAGTGTTATTCTCGAACATAGTATCAACATACAGTGAGCGGCAAAATTATGGAATAATCTTCTTTGTTAAAACTGAAAATATTTTATACTGAACAGGTCAATTTTCTTTTAAAAAAATACAAGTGTCCCAACTTGATTTAAAATTGCATGTTTGTTTTTTGTTGATATTATTTTACTTTTTGGATGATTTTTTTCGAAAACTATGTAATATTTAATATTTAAATGTTATAATTACGGCAATCGAATTGACTAAAAAAAATATGAGTTTCTGTTTTAAGAAATATCGATGACGTCATTATTCAAAAATCAAAAAAAAAATTAAATCAAGTTGAAATTGTGTATTTTTTTAAAAAGAAAAAAACCTGTGTGAGCATTTTTGCCAAAACAAAATATTTTCAGTCTTAATAAGATTATTCCATAATTTTTCCGCTTAATAATAAAAAAGTTTTTAGTAGTGATGCTCTGTTTTACGACACTTTTTTCCATTTGCTATTGAAGTAAGAGGGATTTTTTCTTCCTTTTTGGGATATTATTTTAGTTACATTGCATCCAACTCATCGGGGCCAATATGTATTAATTTTCTAGCGGACACAATATTTAGTTTTATTTATTTACGTGTAAAAAATGCAAAGGAGGAGTTATGATTTATTTACCATTGAAAAACCTACGTATTTTCATGGTTCATATTAATGTTGTTGGATGATTAAGAATTAATAAAAGCGTACAAGCCGGAGCCGTAGAAGATTGTACAGTTTGTCTTATACCATATTATTAACACGTCTGCTAGTAAATAGATTTATGAGAAGTGCATAAGTAAATAGTCCTGTTAAAAATGTATGTGATATCTCTGTTTCTTTGCCCTACGTGTCCTCATTAGGAAGGATTATTGATTTGTATGTTTCTTTCAGAATTCAATTCGACACAATTTATCACTCCACAACCGCTTCATGCGTGTACAAAACGAAGGCACCGGAAAATCATCTTGGTGGATGATTAATCCGGACGCGAAACCAGGAAAATCAGTGCGAAGAAGGGCGGCATCAATGGAGACTAGTAAATTCGAAAAGCGAAGAGGGAGAGTGAAGAAGAAGGTCGATCTTATGAGAAATGGCGCCCTTCCTGACACTACTCCTAGTCCTAGTTCGTCTGTATCAGAAAGTCTGGATTTGTTCCCGGAATCACCGATCCATAGGTGAGTTTTTCCCACTTGCCCATTGATCATTTCTATTTCCATACATTACACAAGGCGACAAAAAAAAAGTCATGTCATGACAACTTGACAACAAATTATATATCATTTTGTTCGTCTCAGTGAGACAAATCAAATGCACTAAAAAAAAATTTAAAAGTCCACACACTTTAAACAAACTAATTTTTTCCTAATTTAAATGAATTTAAAATACTTTAACTTTAAAAAATCATTACTCAATAACTATTATGCCGATTTCCTTCAAATAAAGATCTTTAGAATGATATAAAACTTGAAATTGAATATTGGCAAACTTTTTTTCGAACAGTGTTCGAAGAAGTTCGTAGTAAATCGAAATAATCTAAGAAAAACCCTACGAGTATTTTTTTTTTCATCAATACCATCGTGTAGAGCATCTCTTTATTAGTTGTAATCCAAAGTTTCAAAAAAATATACCGAGTAGTTTTCAAGATATGATTTTTTGAATTTAAGGTTTGCTATTCAGGTATTGCGCCATATAGGAGAAACGCATGTTAATCTTACTTAAAATTGCATTTTTATAAAAGTATTTGTTTTAAGACTCTTCTTTTGCTTAAAAATGGTCAATTGCACCTTCTTTGTTCTAATTAGAATAAACAAAAACTGTTTGTTTACTTAAAACAAATAAAGAGTACCTGCGTACTAATTAAAGCAAATAAAGAGTTTTTTTTGTTGTAAAAATGACCACTGATCATTAAGCAAAGAGGATTTAGAAGTTTAAGGCACGATTCTTAAATATAAGGGCAAATCTTTTTCAAATCAAATCACTTTCCATTCAGATTTCGACTTGTTCATTTTGTTCTAGATTTCTGAACTTTTTTTGAAAATGTTCTGAGTAAATGCTTTCTCATCACTTTCGAGTGATGTTAAATGCAATAAGTCACCTGATTTATTTTGTTGGTACATTCTACGATTAGCTTCAGTTAGCTTGTAGGTAGTAGTTGTTGTGATAACAGTTGCACACGAAGCAACTGACTTATTGCATTCAACATCAGTAGAAAGTGATGGAAAAGCATTTGCTGAGAACATTTTCAAAAAAAAGTTTCGAAAGCTAGAACAAAGTGAACATGTTGGAATCTGAATGGAAAGTGATTTAATTTGAAAAAAAAATTGTTCTTATATTTAAAGCTACTGCTTTAAACTGCTAGATCCTTTTTGCTCAATGATCAGTGATCATTTTTAGAACAAAAAAACTCTTTATTTGCGTTAATTAGTACGCTGGTACTCTTTGTTTGTTTTAAGTAAAGAAACAGTTTTTGTTTATTCTAATTAGAACAAAGAAGGTGCAATTGACCATTTTTAAACAAAAGAAGAACCTTAAGACAAATACTTTTATAAAAATGCAATTTTAAGTAAGATTAACATGCATTTCTCCTATATGGCGCGCGCTATACCTTAACTTCAAAAGATCATATTTTAAAAACTACTCGGTATATTATTTTAAAAATTTGGATTCTTACTAATAAAAAGATGCTCTACACGATGGTGACAAAAAAAAATTACTCGTAGAGTTTTTCTTAGATTTCTTCGATTTACTTCGAACTTCTTCGAACACTGTTCGAAGAAAAGTTTGTCAATATTCAATTTCAAATTGCATATCATTCTAAAGGGCAAGTCCATCCCTTTAGAATAGCCTTTATTTGAAGGAAATCGGCCTAATGGTTATTGAGTAATGATTTTTTAATATTTAGTACAAAGTGTGTGGACTTTTTGAAATTTTTTTTAGTGCATTTGATTTGTCTTACTGAGACGAACAAAATGATATAAAATCTGTCAAGTTGTCACGCCATGACTTTTTTTGTCGCCTTGTCTTATTATTTATCTGTTGTCTGGCATTGCATCATCGCACAATCATAGCATGCTCATTCTTGTCCCAACGAAGTCCGAATAACGAACCTTTCCTTCTTAGTAGCGGCACGGGTTTCCAACTAAGTCCAGACTTCAGACCTCGAGCTTCCTCAAATACGTCCTCTTGTGGTCGATTATCGCCGATACCAGCAGTTGTAGGTGTTGAACCTGATTGGAGTTCTCCCAGTCAATTCAATTCGGCAAATTATAGTCCAGAAATGCCCGGTAATTATTCACCCGATCAGCTTGCAGGAAACCTCGAACAGGGCATGAAACTCCAACCAGACGCCTATATGGGGTGAGCACATGTTGTGCCGTTCTGCTTCTGCTCTTGCACAAATCGCTTAATTGCTGTGTCCCTCCTCAGTAAGGTCCTTCTTAGTAACGTTTGCTGCCTTGCAGGTATATTAATGGACAGACGCCACAACAACCGCCGCCTCCATATACGGCACCTTATGAATTCCCAGGACGTAGAGAAATAAATTCCTTACATGCCACATCGCCATATGGACTTTCGCAGTGTCCCATTCATCGTATGCATTCGTGTTCCTGCATACAAGTTCCCTGTAAAGTCGAGGTGAGGAAAAACGTCTAATCTATACAAAAACTTTACTAACATGGATTTACTTAAAAATAAAACAGCCGCTTAGTTTACAAACAAAAAGTCATTTTGACCGCTTGCCAGACACATTTACTACATTCGTCGTAGTAGGAGCATTTGTACCTACACAAGATCCAGAGTTATTTTTATTTCTTCAATTGTAGGATGGCAATAGATTGAATGTCACTCCACGACGTAAAAAGGAAATTGATCCAAAAACAACGCATTAAATCCTAATACCAAAAATAGACCAAAGTGGTAGTTAAAAAATGCAAATTTTTAACGTGGGAGAATTAAAAAATATACTCTCACAATTTTGGAAAATATTTTATTTTTTTTTTAACACAATTTTTTTTTAATTGCCTTTGTATTTTTTTATTAATTAACGTATGAATAAAGTGCTGCTACCCAATTGAAGCTTTTTTTAATTGGTTGAAGATTTTCATTTTTTTAAATGGCTAATTAAGCATCTATTAATAATTGTTGTGGTTTAATATTTAAGGAGTAGACTTTGAAAATGCAGTTTGTCCATGCTTTTATGAATTGAGATAAAGGTTTTTAAAGTTTTTTTGTAAAATGCTTAAGTACTCCATCCGTAAAATTAGTGTCTAATTGTGTCCAATTTGTACAAATTTTTTCATAAATTTTTGTCATTGATATACTCGTAAAACATTAAAATTATTTCTTAAAAAAGGACATTTTTTGTTCTCTCATGCAAAAATGAAAATTTGGACAAACAGCTTTTTGAGACTCTGCTCCTTACTTGTGAGAGAAACTGAAAATTTTAAAAGAAATCAATTATTTTTCGATGCTTCTTTCATGAAACAGTTTAATGGAATTGAATATAAGCAGAAAATTAGTAGTATGTATTAGTAGTCCTAAGTAGTTAGGACACCTCAATTTTTTTTGGTTTTAAAAGTATTAATATTATTGTTTTTTTTTAATTGTTCTTGAATACTTTTTGGATTTAATTGTTTATTATCATTACTGTGTAATATTTTAGTCGCAAAAATTATATGTACCAGGTGAACAAAAGGTTTTTTGCTTAAACTATTAATTTTCTGAAAAAACTAATTGATGAATGATAAAAATGTAATAAATGTTATAAAAATGTGACGTGTTAACAAAATTTTTCGGATTTATTTTTGTTTTCTGCAAAATTTTTAATTTTTTAAATGTCAATTCACTGTAAAATCTTTATTAGAAAGGCTATGGGTTACAAATATCTACATTTTATTCAATTTTTATCGAACTTTTACGTATATATGTTGCTATTTTGAAAAAAACAAGTCGCGTAAACTCAAAACATGATCTCTTTTATAACCCTTGGTTTCATACTTTTTGTCAATTTTTTTTATTATAAAAACATGTGGAAGAATAAAAAAATATACTTTTAACAATTTTGGGGTTTTGAAAATTGGCAAATTTCTGATCTACCTTCGCGAATGAATCGCACTTCAATGAGAAAATGGACTTTTACGAATTTCCATCAAACCATTTTTAGTTTCAGTAATCTTTTTTTTGAAAAAAAAACATACTTTGGTATTTTTTTTATTAATTAACTCATAAATAAAGTGTTGCTACCCAATTGAAGCTTTTTTTTTAATTGTTTGAGAATCTCCATTTTTTTAACAATGGCTAACACAACACAACATAAATTTTTACTTGAGTCTAGCTTTTTTTATGATTTTTTTATTCATTGTGTACCAAAATGCTTCCTTCTTAAAGTTTGCTTTCGGATCTTTGGTTAGTCTACAAATTAAAAAACTAACGACGAAGCATTTCTAAAATTGCTTGCTAATGACCAAAAAAGTCTTGGCATAGTTTCGAGACAGTAGTCTTTAGTTTTTTATTCTTTTAGGGAATAATAAAGTCAAAAATTTTTAAAAACTAGTTGAAAATACGATAAAAGCTTAAGAATTACGGCCATGAGTGCAAGGAGAACGTTTTCATCGTCATCATTAAAAAAAAATATAGATTTTCTTAAATAATATTAAATGATGTTCTCCTGGTTATAAACACAAACTTTGTTTATGAAATATATATTTTTTCGTATAGGTGTCGTAACTGCATACTTTAATGTTTTGTGAAATTCGATATGGAGTTGTTTAACTTTTCTAAACTCGTTTGAGTGAAAAGTTCAATTTTTCCTACCTAGAATGGAAAAATAGTCTTTGTACGACAGGAAAGACGTTTTTTGAAATCTAGAATGGAAAAAAATCGGTTTTCTTATCTCGTTGCACAAATAGCTATTATTTGACTATAGTTTTTTCCGTTAAAGCAATTTAACACTGATTAACATCAAATTGGGAGCTTAGACACGCTACCTGGTTACATTAGTATGCTGGATATTAAACAAAAGCAATTACCATCAAAGTTGTGGATGTTTAAGCGAAAGATCCGTCTTTATTGCTTGATTATGCTTTTGTTTTTATTCCGTTTTAATGGTTTGTCTGCTACAATCAATCTGCAAGGTGTAATTAAGTAAATCTGAGGAGCAGTCAACCAAGGTGTAAAAATTCTTTGCAGAGCATGTCGCCGGCAGGAATGTCGCCTTCGTATCCGCATTCAGAGCCGTCTCCCGACCCTTTAAATAGCCAATATTTGATAAATCGGGGTACGATGCCGAGGCCACCTTCGAGCAGTCCTCCGTTGACGCCTCAGCCCAGCCAAGGGACACCCTCAACGATGATGGGTCAATTAATGGGAGCTTTAAACAATAGTACGGTCCTTGACGATTTAAACATCAACGTGGAGTCGTTTCAAGGAGGTTTCGACTGTAACGTGGAAGAACTGATCAAACACGAGTTGAGTATGGAGGGAAGTCTCGACTTCAACTTCCCGAATCAACAGCAAGGTGTTGTTCCACAAGGAGAGACGATTTCAGGGATCACCAGCTCCCAAGCTAGCGCACCTCCACCATATTCGACCACGGCAACGACGCCATCGTGGGTGCATTAACGCAGTGTTTGCTGGTGAGTGCGTGAAATTTAATTTCTTCTCTTCACTCATGATTATTAAATTTTTTTTCGTGGATGTAGCGCGCGCGCTTGAATAAACAGAATGTTAATTAAATATGATAAATGAACAATTAGTGAGATTGAGGTATTTTTTAACGAGGGAAAATTAGAATTGCCACACGACATTAATCAAAGCACCTAGAGAAGAAAAAGAACGTATTAATGAGTTGGCTATTGAATATCGGCTCATTCATGGCTGTTGAGAGCAATTTTAATTATTTTCAAAGTTTTAGAGTAGCGCCTGGACGAGACGTAGTAAACACGATGTTAATTTGCAGTTTTACACTCGGTTAACCTCGACTCAATGGATCAATCAAAACATTGTCAAACATTATAAATTAAACATGAGGAGCTTACGGCTTTACAGCTATCGATTAGAACTTTGCTCCGGTTTTACTTATGCACCCCACTTTTCGCTGATTAATACACAACATGTGATATCTCAACAGACAACCATTACAATCCGCAACATTGTATTCCACATACTCAACACTAATTGTTAGGCTGCTACTCATTATAGAAAAGAACGTAAATTTTATTTAGGACCACAAAAAGACAAATTAAAAAATGGTTTTTACTTTATTCTCCAACGAAAATTTACAGAAAACATGAAGTTAAGCAATTTTTGGTGATAACAATTTGATAATTTATGTATTTTTGACGCATTATTGATTAATTGATACTCTTGTTAAATGATATGCAATTTTGTATGTAAAACGTTTTAGGTGGAGTAAAATTTTTAGTTCTGAAAGCAATTAATAAATTTTACTATTTTTTTTGCTGCACCTCTACAGTGTGTAATTTTGTAAAAAAATCACGCATAAAAAATATATGTATTTTTGACATTAGTCTTCAGGCCAGAAAGTCAGAAAAAAATTTTTGTTTTTACCTGAAAAAAAGGTAAACTGTGGTAAGTAGTTGCTATTTTTGTTCATTACGTGAGAAATTATCAAGAAATTTTCAAAAAAGGTGCTAGTCTGATTAGTTCAGGAGCTAGTGATTTTTTTGGGAACTAATTCAGCAAACGTTGATAGGGTTGTTAAATAAAAAAATCTTATACATCTGTACAGGGGTTTTCAGATGCGTTGACTTAGAAAATATCTTAGAAAAAACAAATACATTTTACTGTTTTTCAGTAATGAAAATGGTTCTAACAAATCGTATACTTAAAAAAACTAAGGAATTAAAAAACATTGCTTTTATTTTGTTGCAAATTGCTTTTACTGTAGGTTTATGTTTTACTTTAGTTAAAGTGACGAACAAGCTTAGGTTTTTATTGTCTGGTCCTGTTTTACGTTTATGTCCTAATTCGTCCCGTTTTAAGCATAAACAAATCTAATTGTGCAGTTTTTTAAAATCTTTAGATGCAGTGAAAACAAAGTTTCTTTTAAGTTAAAAAGTTTTGTTTTTGTCATCATTTCAAATGTGGTCATTGTGAAACAACTCAACTAAAGATAGAAACACTTGAAAATCGCTTATAATGACCAAATGAAATATTAATTTGGCCTGCAAAGATAAAAAAATTGTTTGCAGAAAATGGAGGGACTATGAAAACAATTACAGAAAAAGAATTGAAATTAACACGAAACAATGAATATTATATGTTAATTATTAAAGTCCACAACTTTTTTTTTGTTTTTCGTGTCAATATTATATCTTGTGGGTATTCTTATTATGTTCAAATTTCTATACAATTACATTGATAGGACCTATTTAATTTTTTATTTTGTGTTCTGGAATAGTTATAATTATTTTTAATAATGTCCCAATTTCGAATTTTCTGAAGTTGTTTATTGGTTATCTTAACTTTATTAAATCGAAAAGGTTCATAACGGAAAAAATAAAAAAATGTTATTCTTAATTAGATTTTTGATAAAAAGTGATTCCAAAAATGTCACTAGTTTTTTTCTCCAATTGTTAAACAAACTTTTGTCTATTATTATGTAAGTAAGGTTTGTCATTTTTGCTCTTTTGTTTACAGTTGATTGTATTTCGTGGTAGAATTCGAGTTTTTATGGCACATTTTAATTTAAAAAACTCTGATTTCGATTTTCACCAAATCTCAATTTTTCACCTTTGCCGAAATATTAAATCCTTATTTGAGAAAAGCAAATCAACTAAAAATATAATAAAACCTTATATATACCACGGACATAATTCTCGATTATGGCCCTCAGGAAATTAAAACATTAAACATTAGCATAATCTTATTATACCTTTGGTACGTAAATAACTATTACTTCACAATGTTTTAAGAAACTTTGCTAAAATAATTCATTTGACTTTTTATTGTGTCAAAAATAACAAACCGGTAAGTGTTGTAACAGCCGATTTTCACTTTCCAGATTCAAAATGGGACCGGGAAGCTTAGTTTACCGGATAATATGAAATAGTACTTATTTGTGTTACAAAGGAGGAAAGTGTATATTTTCCTTTGTCTAGGACAGTAACCACCTAGGTAGGAAAAGACGCTTCCTTCCAGTGTAATACTTATAATTTTTCCTACAATTCAGCAAGGAAAATTTCAGAACTACCAATTTCTCGTGATATTTCAAAATAATTGTTGGAGTTATACAAAGTCCAGTTTATAATACTATATTTTTGCCACGTTATTAGATTTTTTTTTTGAAAGTTGTCATGTTAAATTTATTCTGTAAAAATTTGTGGGAGATTGACGTGGCGTGAGCGTAAGACTTGGTGCGATTTTTCTTTTCTAATGCTTTCGTAATTTGCGTAGATAACGAATAAAGCTCTTTGAAGTTATGATGACGAAATGTTGTAGGTGAATCACTACTGTGGATTGTCGTATGTTATGTATAAATATGTAAGGTATTGTTGAAAAATGAGAATATAAAACTCAACTTCATCCTTCATCCATAAATCAAAATTTGTCATGACTCAAGTTACGTAATATGAATGAATTTGTCATAGGAAGGCGCCCAGCGGGTGTGTAATGTCAGTGTTATTTTTCTTGCGTAATCGCGACACGCGAATCATACACGTTTTTAATTATCCCTCCTCGGCTATTATTGAAAACGTCGCTGTTTGAAAGATTTCTCCAAGTCGCTTTATTAAATATGCACCGAAATTCCACTTAAAAAACCCGACCTCTCCTCTTCAACTCCATAAGCTAAGAGCATTAATTTTCCCGACTTCCTAACTCTGTCATAAGAATTTCAAAGAAACTTTTTCGCTTCTTAGAGGTTACGACTTGTCCTAGACGAGCGGTAATCAAATTTCTATCTGGGAAAATTGAATATAAAATTTAAAGAGCTGACAATTTCGGGCCTCTAGATAAGTTGACAAGTACCCGGGGAAGGCGCATAATTGAGCAGTAAAATGTGTGGCGGCGTTAAAGTTACACGCGTGCGACGGAAATTATTAAAATTTGACAGTCGTCGGCCTGCCTCGCGCTTAATTCTCACGACGAGACTGAATTATTCCCAAAAGCCCCACAAACTCATCGACCACCTTCCATTACGGTTCTTGGATTTTTACATCTCAATCTCCAACAATCGTAGTTTTTTAGAAAATTTTTTGGGAAAAAAACTCTAAAAGGTATTAGTAGAGTAGAAGTAGTACAACTTTATTGCAAAAATACCTCAGTAGGTACTATTATTTGATTTAGGTTTTTTCTTACTCGAAATAGTGGTCAGTTGGTGATTTTTTATCTTATTGGTGTAAAAATTAATATACCACAAAACTTGTTTTTTTTTTCTCACTCAAATTTTTTTTATTGAGTCTTAAACAGCACTTTGTGACTCACTATCTAGCTATTTCAAGTCGGATAGTGTGCAGAAATCTGCATTTTACATACGATGCGTCAATAGAGTGTCTCGCTGCTGCTCGCGGCGGCAAACCGCCACACGCAATTTGTTAAAAACATCAATGATCCTTGAAAAAATGCAATAATTACACTTTACACATTTCACGTTACTACTTTTAAATAATTGACGATCATTCGTTATCGAATATTCATCGTTTTCGTTGCTTTTTATTTCATGACAAAACATGACAATGTTAAATTAAGAAATCAGCAACTCAATTATAACATTTCAAATTTTTCATTTAAAAAAAATATATGAATTTATTTGTAAGAGAAAACGTTGTTTTATATACGTAAAGAAGAGTTGGCATTTTCTTTTCTTCTTTTAGAGTTAAATTACCAAGTCAAAATTTTTGTGAAAAAATTGGTAGCAGCTTGTCTCCATAGCCACAAATTTTGTTTGCTCTTTGTTTTTGTCTTTAGAAATGTTGTTAAAAAATTATGGTTGTTTTCAAATTATTTGCTCTTTGAAAGCGCTATAATCGAATATCTGAGGACAGACATCATTAACTAAGGTATAAAGACAGAATTCAGTGCTAATAATTTTGATAGAAACACATCGCAAGTAAGTACAATGTTGTGGGCAAAAATGAGGTTTTTGCTACAAAAACTTTGAAGAAAATGGATGCATAGACAGAAAAAACTTACTTAGCAAAAGATACAAGTGGGTATTATGATGATTGATGCATTTTATAAATTCTTCTTCAACTTTAGTTTCAAAATTGTTACTTTTTTAACTCGTTCCTCAAAAACGATGCACAAGACACTAATTTAATTGCGTTCTTTCCGAAGTTCTTTCTCATTCATGTTTATTTTATATTCTTGTCAATTTCTTGATAAAAATTGAGAATGTTTAGCAAACCTGCATTACAAATTGCGTCTACATTTTAACGGGCGCTTTTTCTAACTTCCTGTTTGCGAACTATCCGTTTCCAAATTTCTAAAACCTGTTAGCAGTACCGAATTTGTTCTTTTTTTCGGTGTTTCGTCTTTATTTTTTCTTAGACGATTTTTTTCAAATTAATTCAAAAAACCATGAAATTACGATGAATGAATTTACAAGTGGTGCCAATGTTAAGACAGTTTGGCATTTCCATTAAAAAAACAGACTTTACTATTATTTAACTCT